GTAGCCCCCCGGGATCGCTTGATCGGTCGGCGCCGGACCGCGAATTTAACCGCCCGTAACTCCCGAACCCCGGGGGCTATCGACGCGGGGGTGGTATCATTCAAAAGAGGGCCTCTAGACGTACACTCGATTCGCGTTCAAGCGGGTTCCTCGAGCTGAAGGGATCCCCCAAATTTGGTGCGGAATCGCCGCGCCGTTACGGAGATATGGCCGTTCAAAGTTTCAATGGTTTTCCATAGACTTAAGCTTTAAAGCGTTTCATCCAGGTCGCCAGTAGCAAACAATGGAGCGGCATATCCGCCGATACCGATATATCGGCGACAGGCTCATATCGGCCGATAATATCGGCAAAACGATATATTGGTCGGGCTCTAATATATATATATATATATATATATATGCATGTATGTATGTATGTATATACAGTCTCCAGTCTCCTGTGATGATTAACTTTACATATTCTCCAACTTGTTCTAGTTGTGGCCAATATCCAGCAACTTCGCACAGCCATTGAAGAGGAGTGGACCAACATTCCACAGGCCACAGCACCACTTGCAGCTCCCTGGGGGTCTGTGGACCCCAGTTTGAAAATCAATGATATAAAGTGCGGTTTGAACAGTAGGTGGGGAGATTTGACATCTGTGATTAGTGGTTAGTCACACTTTATTGTGATATTGCAGCTAATCACTAGCTATTCCAAATACACAACTGGAAATAGGCCCAAAAATGCAACCACTTGCCCATATTTATAAGCGACTTTATAAAAAATACAGGCCCAAAGTAGCTTATAACATGACATGCACTGCTGCAGCACTGCTCAAAATAGATAGATGAAGTCTCTAAAGTAGTGTGGGTTTATTTCAGGCAAAACACCTGGCTAACAAACGTCATGCACACTAGAGGAACTATTTTAACACTTCAGTTTATTAGTGGCAAATTAAGAACTACATTAATTCATTCAAAACCCAATATGCTCTTTTCATCTTCGATTCAAGGGTTTTAACTCAACATCTTCCTTGTCTCACTTTCTCACACTTCTCTCGAAGGTGTGACTCATTCTTTCCTACTGTAGAGTCCTTCACTCTCCGTTAGAACTGTGTGGGTGTGCAGAAGAGCTGTTTCATAATGACTGTGTGTGAACAGGGAAGGCTTTTGAAGACCCTGACCCAGTGGGGGCAACTGTATTATATTTAATTACATAATTATGCTGAGTTGAGTATGTAATGACACAATACGGGGTCTAACAACTCACAGAGAGTACTGCATTAAAAACAGCCATCATTAAATGGTAAGAGAAGGTGACATCAGAGACTGTCTGAGCATTAGACCTGAAATTACCCAAAGAAGCATGATCATTTATTGACTATGTCATCTTCTTGGTGGTGACGGTCTTAATAGGATAGTATATCTCAAATATGACAATTTGTTATCGTTTATTTATCCTCCTGTCATTCCATACAATTAAAGTGAATAGTGATGAGGAGCTGTTGCAGCCCAAAACTGACAAAAAGCATTATAAAATTACAGTAAAAGAAGTCCATATGCCTACATTCAAAAGCTGTGTCTCATTTAGAAGGCTGAGCCTCCGGAGATCGAATCCTCAGGAGGTCGCATCCTCTGTAGGATGCATATACGAAGTGTCCTCAACCAAGAATTAAACGAGACGGCCTTCGTAGGACAGGCGGAAAAGGAAACAGGAAGTATCACGTTGCTATGCCAACACATTTAGAGCATCGTTGCGCTCTCACACTACTTAAATGAAGGAAAATTATTTCTAAATTTGGAAAGTAATTTGAAAAAAAAAAATGCTTTTACTTGTTTTATTTTGTTCAATGTTTGAGGAGCTGCAGCGTACGTACAGCAGACATCTGTTAGAGAAAAAATGACATGACAACTCACATGTGTTTCGGGTTTATTCTAACCTTTTCAATTTGCGACCTCCGGAGGGCACAGCCTTCTAAATGAGACACAGCAAAAGTCTCAAAGTCACATGAAAGCTTTGGAAATATTCCTTTCCATCAAAATCAAGACATCATACCAGGCTTAGACATCATTGGTTCTTGTGCCTGGATTCCAATCGTGACAAACAAAATTTGAACGTGTGTATGTTAAAATTATGAATGAGAAAGACTCGAGCGAAAAAGATGATGGAAAGATGACTTTTGAACCAGGCTGGACAAGATAAATCAGGGCTGTCCAAACTCGGTCCTGGAGGGCCGGTGTCGGACAGCCCTGAGATAAATACTCCCTCTCACATGAAAGACTCATCTGGTGAAACTATCTTCAGCACACAGGAAACTCACAAGAGTACCACAAACCTGATGCTGCCACCCAGTCACACAGCAAGTGCAAAGATCATGTTCTTTCCTGCACTGTAAGTCTTCACTATTGATTTTCATTCCACCCTGTGGACAGACCAGAGCAGCAAGATTTGAGTAAACGAGAGAGAAAGGGAAGGAAAAAGGAAGGTTACACTTTATTTCGATAGTCCACTTTAGACATTCTATTAACTATAAGTAACTTTGTAACTACATGTCAACTACATGTCAACTAATTCTCATTAATTTGCAACAACATGTCTACTAACTCTCAGAGTAGACTGTTAGGGTAGGTTTAGGGTTAGTAGAATAAGTTGACAAAGAAAGTGTTAGAAGATAGTCTTAAGTGTTAAGCAGACAGTCTACTAATACTCGACTAACTGCTAGTTGACATGTAGTTACAAAGTTACTTACTGTTAATAGAATGTCTAAAGTGGACTATCAAAATAAAGTGTAACCCCCTTTTTTTTTTTTGTAGTTATAGCTCTGGAAATGTGCTGAAATTGTTTGCTACATTAATAAATAATATATTTTTTAAATGTTCTACCCAAGACTGATTGATCAGAAGGTACACAAGTTGGTTTGAAGGGACATTTGAACCAAAAACAAAAAGACAAAACATTTACTCAAACTCATGTCTTTTCAATCCCTCATCTTTAAAACAAAAATGAAGATATTATTAATATTATCTCGTTGTCCATCCATTAAAAGTCTATTAACAAACAGAAGTCAAGCAAGCATATTTGAGCCATGATCTAAAAGTGGATCTGTCACCCATGGCTTTTCCATTTTGGCCTAGTTTTTGTTACATAAATAATGACACGGTGTGATATGTCATGTGTTGTTGTTCATCTGAAGTTTTATTTTCCAGATTTTAAGACCTGCTAAGGACCAGATTTTTATTATTTTATTACGTCCTGATATGGAAAGCCAGGGAATTCAATAGGGTGCCCTTTCTTTTTCACATGACTGTACATCTTGGATGGCCTGAGGGGGAGTAAAGTATCAGCAAATTTTCATTTTTGGGTGAACTATTCCTTTAAAAAGTATTTTCTGATGAATAAACGTCTTATGGGTTTGGAACAACATTTTCATTTTTGGTTCGACTAACCCTTTAAGCCATAATTTTAAATTTGATAATTAGTAATTTAACAAAACTCATTCGCCCATAGATACTTACTTGTTACCCTTGGTCTCTAAGGTCATGCGTTCAGGTTCTGTCATTTCCATGTAGTTCTTGGACCAGACGAATTTGGAGTCAGCGGTGAGGTTAGAGCACTCAAAATTCAGTGAAATGA